CTTTGTCCGGTGGCAAAAACTGCTGGTGGCACCAGAGGTGACAGTACCGTCTTAGCCACCGAAACTATTTTATCTCCCCTGATTGGCGGCTGACGAGGGCAGGATATTGCACATGCTTTCACACGTTTTATGAAGAAATAATAGTCGCGCGTGTGTGCGTGTAATCCAACAAAAAAGAAAATTATGTACTATAAAAATTTAAACCTCATTATTAACAATAATAAGACACCTGCAAGATCCAAATACAGAGAAACAATATTATTTACGAATTCACATGTCCCTAAGGAACTATATTCCTGATCAATCAAATTTCATTAATAATTATATTGGATATACTACAACATGCCTAACAAGAAGACTCATGTTACATCTCTCTGTTCATAGCTCGATTAGGTCACATTTTAATAAAGATGGTGACCTACCAAACACAATCCACAACATACTCGTTGATAATACAAATATAATAGCATCATACACATGCAAAAAAAGGCTAAAAATGATGGAAGCATTATTAATAAAAAAAAGAAATGGCCAATACTCAATAATATTAACTATGAACATGGTCAAAATGTGCTGACCGTGTTTATAAAATAAACCATATCTATAACTCAAGATACATATACAAAACAATCCATACATTCAGTTAAATGCAAAATATAAAATCATCCTTGATAATAGCTAAAATAGGGGAAAGCACTCGGACATACAGAATATTTAAACAATTTCTACTCAATTTATGTCCAGAAAAGAAGAAAATTATGGGAACACAAAAAAATTAAATAAATAAAAGCCTTGTCATTCGTTTTTAATAAAACTTGTATAAAAGAGGAGTTGTTTCCCAAATTCACAATTTACCTGAGTTAACCACTTGATGACACCTTGATGGTAGTCTTCCATTCGGTGTTTTAATCTTTTTATATATATTTATATATATATATATATATATATATATATATATATATATATATATATATTCTTTTCATCAAATTATATTATATGTCAAATCGCAATCGAGAATATCTTGCACTCATTTTGCTGCTTAATTGTTATTATTCCATGTATTTACTAAGTTATTCTTTGACATGTGTAAATACAAAATTTGAGATCAGATTATGGACCACATTAAAAAGGAACCTCCAAAATAACTCTATGATCTAATATTTTAATTATTGGGTTTCTGGTATATTAATGTTTCCCAGTAATCGTTTCAATCCGAAACCATAATACCATAATATTGTTTTCTCAGATATCATCATCGTCACTATTATTTATGATGCCATGTCAGATATCAGATATCATCATCGTAACTACTATTTATGATGCCATGTCAGATATCAGATATCATCATCGTAACTACTATTTATGATGCCATGTCAGATATCAGATATCATCATCGTAACTACTATTTATGATGCCATGTCATATATCAGATATCATCATCTTAACTACTATTTATGATGCCATGTCAGATATCAGATATCATCATCGTCACTACTATTTATGATGCCATTTCAGATATCAGATATCATCATCGTCACTACTATTTATGATGCCATGTCAGATATCAGATATCATCATCTTAACTACTATTTATGATGCCATGTCAGATATCAGATATCATCATCGTCACTACTATTTATGATGCCATGTCAGATATCAGACATCATCATCGTAACTACTATTTATGATGCCATGTCAGATATCAGATATCATCATCGTCACTACTATTTATGATGCCATGTCAGATATCAGATATCATCATCGTAACTACTATTTATGATGCCATGTCAGATATCAGATATCATCATCGTCACTAAAATTTATGGTGTCATGCCATTTACATGTAATGTTATGATGCTACATTCAGGACGTAGGCGATTATATTCCTTCTCTTTATTTTTTATTAATTTCCCGGCGTTCTTACAAAATATACTGGATTGGATTTCTCGACATTTTAGAATTCAGTTACTTCAGTTAGATTACTTTCCAAGTCATCTTCAACACCCCAGTAAGCGTTGATATTTAACCCATAGATAGGGAGAGAAGTGCAGTCCTCAGTAAGTATTTTGATAAGATTACAGATTTACAGTCTGCTCGGATTAAAAGTCATACGAGATTATCGTAAAGTCGGTGCTGTACATATATTACCTTCTTTTTTAAAAATTTATATTTGACTGTACACACTTGACAAAGAAACTGCAAAACAATTTCACCAGTGACTATCCTAACTCTACTTGGCAATTTTAAATATAGCCGGATCTGCAGACCCCACTCACCGATTGGATCAATAGTGTCAGTCATTCTGTTTGCTAAGTGCCGTCAAATTCTCTTCGACTAGCGAGAAATATAGCACGTCATTTATCAAATATAACATGTTCTTAAAAATATACATGAGTTTCTAGTCTCTGATACAATGGAGCTTATTTTCCCGAATGTCAATTTGACCGTATTTTCTTGCGCATAATGTGAGAAATTTTGAATAAAAATTAAAGGCAAATAGAGGCGGGTCGTATTATATACAACTATATGACAAAAGTACGCAGGTGTAGGCTTTAAGAAACCTTTCTTCAACTGAGAATACAAGGTTCACGTATAGTGTCCTTTTATAGTCCCAGTAAACAGAAATAGCTCTCTCAAAGAGGAGAGTAACAAAACGAGGGGGGGGGTTATTTGAAAACAAAAGCTAGATTGTAAATAAACTCAGGATTGTTCACAAGATACATTTTGTTTATATTTTTATTTATTTATTTTTGTATTTTATAAAGTTTCCTCTCTTCATTCTTAATGAAAGAGACTATTTTTTTTATCTTCATAGTTTATTAATATCTAGAAATATATGTATCTCGAGTTAGAGCCATTTCCCAAAAATTCGAAAATAAGTTTCGAAACAAAATTCGGAGAAGAAAAACGCTTTCGCTAAACATACGTTTCATTTCTATTCTTTAATATCGTGAAAAATGAAATATTTTAATGAAATATATTTGTTTTGAGATCTTAAAATATAATATGTTAATTTATAAAAAGAAATTACATAAGAACGTCTGTACTACGCGATTGTCCTACTTCAGTCTGTTACGTGCCATTCGGATACATGCTTAGGCGATCATGTATTTTTTCGGTAGAACAGTTGCCGTTCAAGGCTATAGAACCTGGTCTGTCCTACTATTTACCCATAGCCGGGGGGAAAGAAGATTCATACCTTTCCCAAAGGTATCAGTACGTAAGTGATCGGAATTCGAACTCAGCTGTTTTATTTCTCAAGCCGAGCCGTTACTCTTGCAGTACTTAAGGATATAATTTATTGCCAGTTTTTAGCTTCATAAACACGGTGTCGTATTGTACTCAAGTCGTATTACTCACAAGAATATCCGGTAAGTCCAGTATAAGTATCTATGTCTCGTACGAGTTTGTATCCACTGCTCAAAATAAGAAAAATCTGCAGATTTCTATAATACGGCACATCGATTTTGGATCAATGTTATTGGACACGATTTGAAAATCGGGGTTTTTAGATGACAAAATATTTCTTCCAAATAGTTAGTTCTTTGAGGAAACAATCTTACAAGATTAATTTTAGGTTCAAAAATCGTAGCGTTGAAATTTAATTCCGTGACCAGATTTATAGCACATTATACATTTTAGAATTTACTGAAGCTTTACAAATTGTATATGGACAAGATGCATGGCACAAGCGCATTATTACTAAATCATTGTGCTATCAAATAAGGCCTTCATTTACTTCAAAGAGAAATTATACTGAACAACGTAGCTATATTATGAGGTAATATGTAGTGCATTAAATTTGTGTTATTTTCAATAAACAATGCAGATTTAAAACATTTTTTTCAAATGTGTGCCCAGAAGCATGAGGGCGTTATATACACTTTTATCTAGATTTGTTTTTATTAAAATCTGTCAAATGATGTAACAAATCTTCATTCAATGAGTACCCTGTTTGTAATCTTTTACATTTTTTTACAATGATTTCACTTATTCAATACAGTAGATAAATTTCATAATTAGAATTCTGGTTCGAATATATTTTTTATAAAATGTATCTAATACAAAAAAAATATCAATTTTATTTAGGATTTATTCTTTAAGTCGTAAAATTTTGAAGTCAGTTTGTAAGACAAAACCTGCGGAAATTAGATATTTCTGTACATTTTTTCAGACGATATTAAAAAAAATAAATGCTTAAAAATTGCTAAAAGCTATGAATCTAAATTGTTGTGTTAGCACATATCACATAAATCCCAGCTTTGACAGAGAGTGCAATGTTGATTTCCTAAACAAGTCAATCTACCTTATTTTATATAGCAGTGAATACGGGAAAATTCCATGTGTAAGCAACGAGAAAGTCTTCGGGAAAATGGAAATATTCCCTCATCTTAGAAATCTGAAAGAGATAGCTTAAATTTTGAGAAATACAACGAGGAATGTGGGCTTAGAGAATCTGACATCCACCGGAAATATGGAAGGTAAAAGATAGGGGGCACATATCTTACCATATTCAATAATGGATAGCGGAACAGGAGATGGGAACGATGGTAAAAAGACAACTGTTTCTAAGAGCGACAAGGTATAGGAAAATATGATCGCCAACATCCTGAACGGATACAGCCCATAGAAAAATAAAATTGATACCACAATCTTAATTATGGTGTTACCATTTTTACCAGGTGGTCATCGTTCATGTGCTTCGAATAAGAAGTTGACCATTCCTTCATTGCATTTTAAGTAATGGATAATGGCTCGGAATTGTTAAATCTGAAATCTGACTTCCAGTTCCAGTTGGGTTCATTAAATTCACTTATGTGTAAATACCTTTTGGAAAGATATGAATTCACCTATCCTCCCCCACAGCTATGGGTTAATTAGTAAAATTTGTATCACTAAATCAATATTATATCCAAAACATTGTTTACCAAGTGTTTATCGTTCAGCTGCTCGGAATTATGGTTTGACTTTTCCAGCATTTCGCCTTAATTGTTTCTGGCTTACGGCCATATAGCGTTGATACACCAGTTCCCGTACGATCACCGAAGTTAAGCCACATCGAGCCTGATCAGGACTTGATGGGTGACCGGTTGGGAATATAAGGTGCTATAAGTGTAATGGATAATGGCTCGGAATTGTTAATCGGAGAGCCGAGTTCCAATTCCAATTTGGTTCGTTATATTCACTTACACGCAAATACTCTTGGGAAAGGTAAGAATTCAATTCTTCTCCCATACAGGCATGGGTTAATTAGTAAGTCTTGTATCACTAATTCAATATCATCTCCAAAAAATCTTACAAATTAAAAGACTTTTCTGGTTTTGAATAAAGTACAAAGGTTGATAAGCTGTAAAAAATGAATCATTCAATCAATCAATTAATTTTGTCTTATTTCTATTATTTTATTTTATATTTATTAGTTTGGGGTTTCAGAAGTAACATATAATTTCAAGGACGTTATTCTTAATTCTTAGCTACTTTAAAGGTAGGTAATTTAACTCTGTGTTAGGCGCATGGGGTTATTACCCAGAAATTTTTAAAGTATCTGTAATTCCTAATAGGAAACTTAGTTGTTGCGTTCTTTTCAACTACACATCTGACTTAGTAGCACGCGGCGTGGCGCAGTTGTAGCTCAGTTACTGTGGGAAGCAGATTCTAGGGAACTATCTATTTTGGGAAATCCGTGGTGACTAACGCAGGGTTAATAAATAAAATTGAAAAATTAAAGCTAATTTACCCAAAACTGAGACAAAAACTCCACCTGCCAATGGCGAATAGAAGAATATCAACATGATCATATCTTTGTTTTTTTTTTTTTTGTTTTTTTTTTTCTTAATATTTTTCCTTACAGGGCGTAGAAGATCATAGTTATCAATAGATTTCTTTTCATTAATTATTTTTAAATTGGCTTACGAAATACAGTGGAGTGGTTTTCCCGTTGCTTTCTCGATTGTTTTGCATTCAGATTGTCATGCTCCAAGACTAGCTGTCACCCATGTCTAGACAATCTAAACTACCCTGCTATATAACTCATAGCTGCAGACGCAAACGAATAGATTCCTACCTTTTCCAAGTGCATTTTCGTCAATCTTGCATTTAATATACGGCATGCTAATAGATATTTTATAAAATTTGGTAGAGGATTAAATTAGTAATATATGAACAGTTCTAACTCCACGTTATAAAGGGTTTTCCAATAACTTGGACTGATTTTAATGTGAATTAAGTTTAAGAGTTTAATGATTTGTTTCTTTTTCTTTCAGATTTGGAGGACATCTGAGCGATATTATTTTTTACACATAATTGCCAAAACTTAAATAACATGACCTAGAAGAGAAATAAATAAATTTTCAACAATAACACTGATTTATTTACTGTTGACTTTGATCCTTCTTAATGAAACACCCTTATGTATATAATCCGTCTAAATGAAACACCCTTTATAACTCTTACTTACGTTTACGTACAAGTTGTGATCTAAATGCGAAGGTTGTTACCATTTTCTGAGCAGGAAACTGAATACATAATTCACTTATTATCATTAAGCGAGACTCAATAAGTTGGAACGGATATAAGATATAAGCTAGATGATATAAGCAATAAAACATTTCTTTAGTGTGTCCCTCTTATGTAATATTTGTTCATACACGCATATACACACACACCAGTCTTCTGCATGACGATAAACTTTATCCAGCATCATGACATCTGATCTGGAGATTGGAGGTTTTGAGGAGCGCGAACCACCGCTTAATTACTGTTGTTCCCACATCTACCCTGATTTGGGGTGGTAGCGCCTGTTAGGGTCCTAGTTATGGGCAAGTAGTGAACCTAGAAAAAAAACCGTGAAATTAAAAAAAAATACATTTATAGTAAAAATTACCAACAATACATACTTATAGTAAAATGACCAACAATACAGAAATACCAGAGATGTTGATATATCACGAAACAGAATCAACCAACAAACAGTACACATGCACATGCGCATATATATATATATATATATATATATATATACCGGGTGTGACAGTGATTTTTATTAATTGGTCACCCAACGCTTTATTAAAAAAAATGAACGTTATATTATTTTAATAAATAAACAAACAAACGCATGACGTTGGTGTGATAGAAAGGGAGGAGGGGGATGTCAAGAAGAAGAAGAAGAAGGGGAGGAGAAGAAAAGCAAGGGTATTACAAATGTATTGGTGGGGGTTATCAAAGAAATTTCTTAGTTTTAATTCAGGAATTGTTTTCGTTTTGAACCTGTTAACAAGATCTTCCCGTTCACCCGACAAGAAAAAGTCTTGAAGTGTTCGGTGTTCTGACCGTGGTGGCCAGTCAACTTGAGATTAAGATTGAACTATTCCCGACCGCGTAAGACATCTTGATTCATCTTGAGTAATCTTAAACTACTGTAATTTATATTTTCACAAGCTTCCCATGATTTCTCTCGAATGTTCATATCTGCACGAAGCGTATCTTAAAGCGTATCTTAAAAGTAAACAAATGGTATTATATATTATAAAATGGACTTATTCCGAAAATTATTTTAATATATTTTTGTTGATACAATATTTTTGTAAATACAAATATTTAAATAAAGGGAAGTTTGTAGTTTAAAAACAGTACTTTAACCTTGCTAACCAGACACGTCCTCTGTAGTTAAATGGTGTAGCACGTCAAGCTATATGACGGTTCTGTGTAGGATACAGGTCCGATTCCTGTCGGAGGATTCATTTTCTTTGGGATTTCTCGGACACTCGGGCCGGTAAATGTTGTTAATAATATTTAATATAAAAGGAGCATTTACTTAAATATTTGCATCTATAACAAAAACGTATAAACAAAAAAATATTTTTTTATTTTATATATATATATATATATATATATATATATATATATATATATATATAAAATATTTTTTTTTTTATATATATATATATATATATATTATATATAACGTGTGTGTAAAAAGATCTAGAATTCAATCAAATTAAGATTATTTAATCAGTTCACGTTCCGTGTTTTGCAGAAATCTCTCTCTGTGTCCAGAATAAATTCCACTTTCGAAAATAGAAAGTAAGACTTCACTTTCCAAATTTAATTATGATATTCTCTCATAGAGTCATTTCGACATGTTTTCTGTTCTTATTTAGTCTCACCATGAATCTCCATAATGCCGAATGTCTTTGCAATATCAAATATGTTTTCTTCAAAATAACCAATGCGCGATTGGTTTCATGGCTATATCAGTAAGATGCGATTTTTGGAATGATTCTGAGCATTAAACATACAATTACTATTTTCTTTTAATGTGATGTAAATGTTACATCGAGTCTGCTACAAGGCAGCCTCTCGGAATGGTTTCACACACACACACACACACACTATATATATATATATATATGTTTCATTAAAGACGACAGACAAGGTACTACGGTTAAGATTTTTATTTGTTTTTTCTTGTGTTCGAACAAGAGCTTTCTTTTCTGAACAAAGGGTGTGTAAGAAATGTCCAAAATAGAAAATATAAAACATTTGAACAGTTCTTATACCTTTGTCCAGCAAAGCAAAGAAACACAATAAAAAAAATAAAAACCGTAGCACCTTGTCTGTCGTTTTTAATGAAACATGCATAAAGGAAGGATTGCTGCCTATATATATATATATATATATATATATATATATATATATATATATATATATATATAAAGTATATAATTGGTATACACGGAATGAATTCCAATAACCAACAATTACTATTCTAGATAAATAAATTTTCTTTTCAACACCATCACTTGATAAGACACAGAGTGTGTTGAAACAAAATGGCTATTTTTGTAGTGATTTTATAACATACTTTATGTTATAAATTTTTTTATAAAATAATTATATATATATATATATATATATATATATATATATATATATATATATATATATTATGAATTGTAATTGGAAGGTATTAATCCAAAGATGACTTTTGTCCATATGAGAGTACAATATATGATACAGAGCAAATTATAATAATAATTACAAAAAAATAATTTTTAAAATTTTTTCCTAATTATTTTCTTAATATTTTTAATGTTTTTTTTTATTATTATTATTATTATTATTATTATTATTTATATATATATATATATATATATATATATATATATATATATATATATATATATATATATATAGGTCTGCTCTGCGGTTGTATTGAGCTCTTTTGTTAGTTAGTTGTTACTTGTATCGGCGTTTTTTTTTCTTTGGGCTTCAGACCTGCATCTGTGCGATTTTTGTCGGCAGAAGTTCATGTTTGTAGCTCTTTCTTTTTTTAAAACCTTTTTCCCCTCGAGATTGATTTAATGAGCAAATCAAATATTTGAGGGTTTTTCGAAACGAGTCTAGTTATCTATATTTATATGTACATTTATATATATATATATATATATATATATATATATATATATATATATATAAATTAGTAGTAGTAGTATTATTATATATCATATATATATATATATATATATATATATATATATATATATATATATATATAAAGCAAGAGAAAGATTTTGTAAGTAAATGAGGCTTCTAGAATATTAACTTAAACTTCCCGAATTATATGGGTTAATTTGATGGTGGATTATCAATACTATGTTTTTTAACGTAAGATTCACCCTGTACAAGGCTCGGGGTTGGGGGTGCACTCGAGGTAAAGGGTTGCGTTAAGGCATAGATAATATGGATAGGAGGGGAAGATAATAATTGAGTCTGAAGCGTTTAAGATTTTAGTGATCGCGGAAAAATCCTCTTGGGTGTCTGTGCCAAAGGACATTTGTAATGTGGGTGGTTTGCTATTATGTAAGTGGCATGGCGGTTGAACGAAAGAATTTTAATTCGTCCGAGCACTTTCAATCGTAGTAGAGATAGAGATGTGTGTGACTCACCACATCGCGCCTATAAGAGAGAGGTTGGATGGTGGAAAATAATTCTTCTCCAACAAGGTATCGGACACGCTTTTGCAATCTGTCAAGGCTGGAAAATGAGCATAAGCAGCTCTCGCTAAAAACATGACTGTTCTTGTTCTTATAAACGCAGAGGATAATATG